AACCTCCCGTCGCTCCCCTCCCTCGGCCCGCTTCTGGTCACCCGCGATCCGCGATGCCCGCAATCTATCCGCGCCGTGCGCGCCGAGCAGGAGATCAACGAGCTCATTAACAGCGGCGTGCCGTCCGAGTCCGTCGCGTCGCGCCTGTCGCCGTGGTCGGCGGCGCTCTTCGCGTTCATGCCGCCCTTCATCCGCCACGAGTTCGCGGAGCACCGCGAGGTCGACGGCTACATCCGCTTCTCGCAGGTGCGCCCTCCGCCGTCCTACCCCCCCCCCCCCCCCCCCCCCCCTTTCCCCGCCGCTTTACGCGCCTCCGCATCTCCGTTCCCGCGCCTTGCTCGTGTTTAGCGGGTCCCTTCATGCCGTTTTTCTATGATTGATTTCCTCTAGCCTCCCTCACCCCACTCTCTGTCTGTGTTCGCGGACTGGGTGTCTATTGCATGTCGCATGGGACAATACGGCATGGCATGGCGTGACGAGGCATGGGATGGCATTGTATGGTGTGTGGGGCCGCATGCATTCATGGATGTGTGCGTGCGTGTGCGAGCGTGTGTGTGTGTGCGTGTGTGTGCGTGTGTGTGTGTGCGTGTGCGTGTGTGTGTGTGCGTGTGTGTGTGTGCGTGTGTGTGTGCGTGCGTGCATGCGTGGGTGTGACTATGCAGATCGAGACGGAGAAGCTGTTTGCGCATCTGGTGGAGAAGGAGATGGAGCGACGCACGGTGGGTCCTGGGTGCAGGAAGCGAGGCCGCGGGGTGAGGGCAGGGGGCGGGCCGCGGGGAGTGACTGGGGAGGTCGGGTGCGGGAAAAGGGAGGCGGGGAGAAGTGAGGCAGAGGGGAGAGGAAAGGGAGGATGCAAGTGGGCGAGCAGAGGTGTGCAAGGGAGGTGTGCAAGGGAGGTGTGCAAGGGAGGTGTGCAAGGGAGGTGTGCAAGGGAGGTGTGCAAGGGAGGTGTGCAAGGGAGGTGTGCAAGGGAGGTGTGCAAGGGAGGTGTGCAAGGGAGGTGTGCAAGGGAGGTGTGCAAGGGAGGTGTGCAAGGGAGGTGTGCAAGGGAGGTGTGCAAGGGAGGCGTGCAAGGGAGGCGTGCAAGGGAGGTGTGCAAGGGAGGTGTGCAAGGGAGGTGTGCAAGGGAGGTGTGCAAGGGAGGTGTGCAAGGGAGGTGTGCAAGGGAGGTGTGCAAGGGAGGTGTGCAAGGGAGGTGGACCCTACTAGTAATGGGAACACCTGGAAACCGACATATAGGCTTGCCACAAGAATCCTCCTCATCACGTGAAACTTGCTGTGACGTTTTGTGCTCCTGCTCGTTGTGTGCGTGTCTGTCTCTGGGTCCATGCGTGCGTTCCCGCGCGTGTGAATTTGCTGTTGACTGCTGTATGTGTGTGTGTGTGCATGGTGTGTGGTGTATGCGGCATGCGAGCAGAAGGCGGGTGTGTACAAGGGCAAGAAGTTCAACGCCATTTCCTACTTCTTCGGCTACCAGGCGCGCGGCTCTCTGCCCTCCAACTTCGACTGCGACTACGCCAACGTGCGTGCCCGCCCCCATCCTCTCATGTGCTCTCATGCATGCACACGCACATGCGCTCGCACCACATTCACACATCGCACACCGCGCACACCACTATGCGCGCGCCCCCCCCACACACACACAGATACACACATACGCCCTAACGTCCCCGCACCTTCTATTTCCCCTACCCTCAACGTTCGCTCGTCCGCCAGGCGCTGGGGCACACGGCGGCGCATCTGGTGGCGGCGGGAGCGGGAGGGTACATGGCGACGGTCAACGGGCTCAAGCACGACGTGTCCCGCTGGACGCTCGGTGGCGTGCCCATCACGGTGCGTGCCCCTCCTCTCTCTGTCTCAATCCCGTATTCAACCGCTAATTAAGACCTCCGCAGCCCACCTGTTTACTGATAACTGCCCCTCCCTCTCTCTGGCTAAATCCCTGGGTCTGTGTTTGTTGTGTGTCCGCATGTGCGTACATGGCCTCGCAGCACTGGCCAGTGGAGTGCGTGCCTTGTGCATGTAGCATGGTGGGATGGAGCATGGTGGGATGGATCATGGTGGGATGGAGCATGGTGGGATGGATCATGGTGGGATGGATCATGGTGGGATGGATCATGGTGGGATGGATCATGGATGGAGTGTGTGGTGGTGTGACTGTTGGGCATGCGCGTGGGGCAACAGCATCTCTTACAGCAAGCAGGGGCGTATGCTTGACATGTAGCGTGCCCTAAGAGCATCTCGCATGCCTTCCCCCTCCCGCCCATCACGTCTCATGACTCCTCGCCCCTCTCCCTCCTCCCCACGCCCCTCTGCACGCCTCACCCCTCCGCCAGGCGATGATGAGTTCAAAGCCCACCATGAAGGGCGGGGCCACGGAGCCCGGGGTGAACGCCAACAAGGTCGACCTCAACAGCGCGCCCGTGCAGTACGTGCTGTCCCGCTCTGCCCCTTGTTGAGAGGAGTGTTGAACCTGAGCCCAGAATAGCTGGTGTACAAACTCCTCTCGAGTATGGTGTCAACGCCAACAAGGTTGACCTCAACAGTGCGCCCGTGCAGTACGTGCTGTGCCCCCCTCTGCTCCTCCCATTCCTCATACACGCACACCTATGAATGCACACACTTTTTTGCACTCAGACGCTCACACTAACACTAAGATTCGGTACTGCTACCATCACCTCCGCTACTGCTTCATCCACAGGGCTCCTCACACGCGCATTTCACGCCTTACGAGAGACACATGTGTCCACATACCATGCGTCCTTTCCCCCTCCCCATGCAGACCTCCATCTCCCGAGTCTCTCGTAAGGCGAAGTTAATGAGTGCGGGCAGTTGGCTGCTGGGTGGAAAGGTACCGCAAACCAGGCTGAAGATAATAGCGGCACACTCACTCCCGCCTGACTCATGCACATGGTCCTCCTGCCCCTCCACGCCCCCCCTCCTGTGTCTCTCCCAGGACCCTGCACGCCAATGCGGGCAGCTGGCTGCTGGACGATCTGTACCGCAACCGGGGCTGGAACTGATAACGGCTCCCTCGTGCCAGGCTGACTCATGCGCACTGTCCTCCTGCCCTTGTCTCCACTCCCTCCTTCACTATCTCCCCAGGACCCTGTACGCCAACGCGGGCAGCTGGCTGCTGGACGATCTGTACCGCAACCCGGGTCCCATCCAGTTTGAGGGGCCCAGCGCTGAGGCGCGCCCCATCACGCTGACCATGGAGGACCACAGCTACGTGGAGCAGATGCACACGCTGCACAAGTACCTCGACCAGGTCAGTACCTCGGTGCTTAACTGCCTGGCTTGTTCTAGCAGTTGCTTTGAAGGTACCACTGTTAATGGTACCTGAACAAGGTCAGCTCACCATGGAGGACCACAGCTACGTGGAGCAGATGCACACTCTGCACAAGTACCTCGACCAGGTGGGTGCAACTGATTACTCTTTGCTGAATCACATGAAGCAGAACAGAGCTGCCAGGGCTGCTGATTATTCACTAGCACCTGGCGCAGGTTAGTTGTGCTGGTTACCATCAGTTACCATGTTTGTGCAGTGCAGCTGCTCCACCGGATGGATGCTTCTGTGCATAGGTACCGCCCACAACCCCCCCTCACCTTCTCCACCATCTGCCTTTCTCTCGCTGCATCTGCCTGCAGGTGAGGGAGCTGGTGAAGCCAGGGTGCGCCCCCGAGGCGCTCAACACGGCGCTGTCCTCCCTGGCATCGCTCACCCACGTGCTCACCATCCTCACCGGCCCCGGCTCCTCCTTTGCTGCCCCCGACCCCCTCCCCTCGCCCCGCGTCTCCTATGTGGCTGGCATGTGGAAGTAGGCGGTGGAAAGTAGATGTGCTAGTGGAGAGAAATGGTTTGGGAAGTGGATGGGAGAGTATTGGGTTGATTTGATAGATTACCATATGTGTGGATTTCATATGTTGGGTTACTATGTGTGTTAGAAATTACAGGAACCCCTTTGGTTCTGGTTTCTCATCTTCCCTTGATGTCTTGCAATGGCTAGTTGGAGGAGGATTGGTGAGGATCTACTACTAGCATGGCAAATTAACTTCGAATACAAAGAGGTAGCACTCACTACTAAAAGAATTTATGTGGATTAGGGGGTTCTATGGGTTTGTTCCTTTACAGCGTGCTTCTTAGCGGAGCAATTGGAGCACACACTTCCGCGAGTAGTGGTGTATGCGGGCAAGATTTCGCGATCAGCGCCCCTTTCGTCAGTCTCCATGAATGCGTGGTGGGACCACAATCCATTCGTGGCGCCTCAACGCGACAAGCCTAGAGAGTGCCCCACTGAATACCCTTGCCGTGTCAACCCTCGCGGAGCGCACTTAGACATGTCGTGGCAGCAGAAGCACAGCGCACCACGTGTCGAGGGATTGATGTTGTTTCATCCTCCCTTGTGCGGAGTGGCATGCAAGCGAGGACACATAATGGGGCACCTCCACTGCGAGCGCCATTCCAGTGGGTTGGCGTGTCCATTCGCGCGAATATTAGAAGGCACAGCACAGCGCAGCGCACACGCCATAGCGCATGCCCCACAACACACGCCAGCAGCTGGGCTCGGAACCCGATCTGTTGGGCCGCATTCGGTCCCCACCGCCAACCGTGTGAAACTCGATTGGATCCACGTCAGATTCGACCAGCTGAAGGCGGCGATCTGGAGGATCGTGACCGTTAAAGATTACTTGGCAGGTGCTCGCTTCAGCGAGGCGCTCCTCTGCAGTTCGCGATCGGCGTGAGTGGGCGCATGCCGTTTTGCAAGGCGTGTAAGAGGCGCCCAAGAGGCATAATACTTGGATTTCCTTGCTCACGATCCGGGCAGGATTCGGTGCAGGGAGGCTCACGATATCGCAGTGAAGTGCATTTGTTCCCATCGCCTGCGTTTGCGTGCTCCTCGTGCTGGTGATCTTGTTCCTCCGAGTGTGTGGGCAGGGAATCGATCGGTATCGCGTGCGGTGTTTGAAGACGGACGCTTTCCGTCCAGAGCCGGTGGATGGCGCACGAAACTCGCGAGGCGAACGAGACTCACGGGAATTTCCGTCCAGAGCCGGACGCTTTTCGTCAGGATACTCGCGAGACGAACGAGGCGCACAAGAGTCACGAGGTCCACGGGCCGATTCGGCAGGCGCGTTGCCAAGTCGCGTTGACAGAAGTGGCGGGTATGGGGCGACATGGGAGGGAAGGATGCGAAACAGGGGAAGGAGGAGAGAGGGATATTGGAGTTGGCGGAGAGAGGTGGGAACATTTGCAGCAGATCGGCCGTGGGATACCGGGAGGAAGCTTCGTTGTGGGCTCGCCTCCCAAGCGGTTACGGAACAGCTTGTTGGGAGGGGGGAGGGTCGAGGAGTGGGCAGGAAGGAGCATGCGCGATCGCGAGAACCAGGTTGTTGAGCCAGTTCTGAACGAGGGCTTTAACGTGCAGGGAGGCTTTAGGAAGGGGCAAGGGGAGTTGCCAGACGTCGCTCTTAAAAAAGAGCGTGATAACGGGATGGGAGGCGGGAGAGAGAGCGATTGCCAGCGGGAGAGGTTAGAGTGTGAGGTGTGGCAGACCGAGGAGGGGCTTTTTGGTTTTGAGGCGCCTCGGAAGACGGATAGCGGGTCGTGGAGAGGGAAGGGGAGAGAGGTGGAAAGCGATAGGGGAGGGGAGGCGTTAGAGTGTATGGTGAGGCATATACACGAGGGACCTTTTGAAGCGCCTCAGAAGCTGGAAGGCGGGAGGGGGAGCAGGAGGGGGAGCGGATTGGGGAGAGAGGGAGAGAGCGGTAAGGGGAAGGAGGAGGCGATAGAGTGCGAGGTGAGGCAGATCTACGAGGGGCTCTGCCTGGACCTTGCTGCTGCTGCTGACGAGGAGGCCTGCAGCGCTGACAGGGGCGCTGACGTGGCAGGCCAGCGTGGAGGACGTGCTGACGTGGCAGGGCATGATCTAGTTGGCAGCGAGGAGGCTCTGTGCATAGGAGACGTTGCTGACCTGGACTTCAACAGGGGGGCAGGGGTTAAGGTGGGTGAGGGGCATAGCGAGGTTCGGGGCGGTATGGGTGCGGTGGAACTGGATTCAATGCGGTTGCTGGCGTCTCTCCCGTCTCTGAACTCCAGCGACCTCGCCGCTGCCCTGCCTGCCCTCGGCCATGTCAACCCGCTGGCGAACACAGAGGGTGTTGTTGAGTCAACTCAGAAGCCACCTGCTCAAACCCATGTTGGTCCACCTCACTGTTGGTCCACAGAAGGCTTCGCAGAAGACGCCTCTAAGCTGCCGGCTCACACATGGGGTGGCTTTTCAGAGGGACTTCACCAGCAGCAGACGCAGTGCCTGCCATCTGACCCGGCTGTAGCGGCATCTGATTCTCCAGCAGAAGCACCTGATCCCGCTGTAGCAGCTTCGGAGCCGGCTGTAGCAGCTTCTGAGCCGGCTGTAGCAGCTTCTGATCCGGCTGTAGCAGCTTCTGATCCGGCTGTAGCAGCAATTGATCCGCCTGTCCAGGCAACTGAACAGGTTGCAACCATTGCAACCGAACCGGCTGTAGCAGCACTCGACCTCCATTCACCACCTCTGGATCCGGCTGTAGCAGCACTGTCAGACATTCAGTTGCCGCCCGGGTTCACAGAGGGCGAAGCAGCAACAGAGCACTTTCCCCCATCCTGTGACCCTCCTGTTGATACCCTAGACCCCCTCGTGGAAACCCAGAACCCCTTCGCAGTGACTGAGTCGACTCAAAAGCCACCACCGTTGTCTGACCCGCCTGTCGACACGCGAGACCCGTTTGTCGAAACCCAGAACCCTTTTGCCGACACCCTGAGCCCTCTAGTTGATGCTGTGGAAAACGTGCTGGGCGGCCGCAGAGGGGAGGTTGGAGTGGCGGTTGGAGTAGGAGAGGGGGGAGTGGGAGGAGGTAAGGGAGGAGAGGGAGGAGGAGGAAAAAGGGGAGGAGAAGAGGGAGAAGGTGAGGAGGGAGGTGGACAGAAGGGGAGAATGAGAGAGGTGGTGTGGGAACGGCAAGGCAAGGAGGTCGGGATGATGATGGGGAGAGGGAGGTTGCAAGGGGGGTTGGAGGCGGTGCAGCTGGGCAGGAACCGGTGTCATTATCCCTTCAACTGACTGGGACTGATGCTGCTGCTGGTGCGAGAGGTGGTGCTAGTGCTGGTACTACAAGTGCTGGTGCTGGGGATGGCGCTGGTGATGGCGCTGGTGATGGTGCTGATGATTGTGGGGAGCAAGAGCCTGCAGCAGGTGACACGGACACGGGAGGAGAGGGCCAGTTGAGCGATACTAGCAGCGGCGTGAAGGCAGTCAGGGAGGAGGCAGGGGATGATCTGGTTCACGAGTCTCATCCCGGGGTGAAGCATGGGTTGGGTGTGGTGGAAGGGGGTACAGGTGCGCATGCCATGCTGCCGCCTGCAGGCATGCTGGCGCCGCCCTACGAGCACATGCGCCAGCCTGGCATGGCTGTGACTCTAGCAGATGTGCTTGACGCGAGGGAGCCGTCAGAGCAGGCAGGTGTGACTGTGGACGAGCAGGGGCTGGGGTCGCTGGGATTTGCCACTTCGCCTCTTGAGGGGCTCGGCCGAGACGAGGGGCTGGGCTTTCAGCAGGAGCTGGGCTTTAAACAGGAGGTGGTGGGCTTTAAGCAGCAGCTGGGCCTTGGTCAGGGGCTGGGCTTTAAGCAGGGGCAAACTGGCATGCATGGGGAAGCAGCAGGGAGAGCAGCAGGAGGACGGGATGACACGTCAGCAGGTGTACTTTCTGCCAGCTCAGCAGGTGTGCCTCATGCCAGGCCAGCGAATTTACCGCATGTGAGCACACTGACAGGAGTGCAGCACGCCTTGTCAGTGGCACCAGAGCTGCACCAATCAGTCTCCCCCTTGCCTCCAAACTCCTCCAAACTCCTCACCCGAATTCCTCACCCCCCCTTCCTTCCTCCCACACCTCCTCCCAGCCCCCTTCTGCCCGGTCCCTTCCTCTCCTCCCTCACCACCAGCCGTGCCAGTTCCATCTCTCCCCCAGCAGCAGCAGGCGCCACCCAGGCCACTGCACCTGCCCAAGCCCCCGCCTCTCACACCCACTCACTCACATTCTCCACACCTGCTCAGGTGACTCCTGCACTAGCCACTGCCCCACCTTGGTGCACCCTTACAGTCACACCTCCTGCCAGTGTCCCCTTGGCTGCTGAAGGGCAAGGTGAGGTGCACACACAGCGTGCAGGCTGTGACAATAACGAGATGCTGCTCAAGATTGGAGGGGAGGGGACCAAGGAGGTGGTTGTAAGGCAGGGCAGCGGTGACTCAAACGAGGGATTTTTAGCGGAAGTGAGTGCAGGGGAAGTTACAGTGGGGATTAAGAGTGGAGAGGATGTGACTGTAGTGATGGGAAAGGGAGTGGCGAAAGTTTTCGCTGCAAGGGTGGAAAAGGGTGGATAGATAGGTAGGTTTTATATAAGTTTTGGTTGTTAGTATTAGATGATAGAAATTCTGTGAAATCATGGTCAATGACGGTGCCTTGCTGTTGAGGACCTTGATAGTGCCACAAGAAAGAAGCCTTGATACCCTCCTTTACTGCCTATGGCATATTCACTGCAAACTTCACCATTCCAACCTGATTCTTGTGGAACTACCAAGAAGCAGCTATAAATTATAACAGAATGATAATAGCACACAGCTACAACAAAAGAATAGGCCCGAGATCAGGGCAGTGTACAATACAAAGGCACGCTTAGCGCGTACACAAATCAGCCCACCAGAAAATCGAACCCACCAAGTCACCTCACAGACTCGCATCCCACAACCGCAGCACACGCGCGTGAGACGATGATTAGTGGAGCGGCTCGCGCGGGAACTCCTCGACGGGGCTGAGCTGCTTGGCGCGGTGGTACTCGGTGTGCGCGCAGTCCACGGAGAGCACCGAGCTCGACTCGTACGACCGCGGCGTGCCGTCCAGGAACCCCACGCCCTCCTCGCTGTCCGACGAAATCGGACGGTGCAGGTTCGCGATCAGGCGCTGGAAATCCGCAGCGCGCGCGGCGTGGTCGGGGCGGTACGTCTGGCCGAGCACGCCGTGCACGTCGTCGGTGTGCTCCAGCTCGACAATCCCCACGTTGATGTGCGCCTCGGCGTCGTTGGGGGTTTGCAGCTTCGGGTTGGCGACGCGCAGGCGCAGGTCGAGCGACACGAGCCCGTCGATCGCGAGCGTGTAGTAGTCCACGTCATACGGCCCCTCCTTCTCCAATGCCGCGAATCGCAGCGTCAACCCGCCCTCCGTCTTCACCTCGTCGCCGACGGCCATCCTCGGGATCTCCTCGCCGTCGATCTCGATCGTCTTCATGAACCCCTCGCCGCGCTCCTGCTGCTTCCCCGCGCGCGCCGCGAGGCGCAGCTTGTGGTCCGCGCCGGCCGCGAACCACACGAGCCCGAGCTCCTTGATCCACGTGTGCACGGCCTTGCCGTCCACCACGAGAGCCGCGTTGTCCGTGTCGTCCGAGTAGTACCCGCGCAGCAGCATGTTCACGTGCAGGTCGCGGTCCGTCAGCAGGCAGAACGCCTTGTCGGGCCGCCCGTTGAAGTCGAAGTGCGTCCCGAACGCGCCCACCAGATGCGGGTCGTTGACGACGTTCGCCGCGGGGTTGCACTCGCCGCCCGTGCGCACCTGCAGGTGAACGGGCTTCGAGTCCGTCGCGTACTGCGCGGTCAGCTCGCCGCAGGTGTAGTCGATATCGTCGTGCACCAGGTAGCACGCGCCGTCCGTCTTCTTGCCGTCGATGGTTATATCGGGGATGTACTGCCAGTACGTGCAGCTCTTGAACGACGCGCACGTGTTGCAGCACGTCTGCGGGGACGCCTTCTTGAGCGTCAGCGGGTTGCCCTTCACGTACACCTCCACGCCCAGCTTGTTCTTGAGCAGGTTCGACGTCTTCCACTTGGCGGCGATGCCGCCCTTGCTGCAGTTGGCAGGCGTGCACGCGCCGTCCCCGGGTTTGCCCAGGTCCTTGTGGCACTTCATTTTGTTCCATCCGGCCGCTTTCACGTCCACCATCAGCATACTGTCGGTGCTCGGGCTCACGACCGTCGTCCCCTCGAACTTGTCCAGATTGCCTGCCGCCGCCGCCTGCTCGATGCCCTTGGACACCTCCGCTGCCACTCCATTCTCGCCCTGCGCCGCCGCGAGGGACACTGCGGGGTTGTTGGGTCCAGTCACGACGCTTGGCGCCGCGGAGGCCACTGTCAGTAGAACCGCGAGCGACGCTACGAGTAACAACCGCGCCATGGTTCTGAAATCGAGGTCAAGGCGCTGAGGAGCTATATTGTTTTCGAGAAATGTCAAAAACGCTTAGAGAGAAAGAAAAAAACGACAGGGAAAATTCGTAAGAGCGAAACCTCTCCTAAAATATACTGTATCACACGAGAAATGGTGTTGTGTCTGGTCCGTCGACAGACTAGTTTCTTATATTCGGTGGTGTGTGTCTGGTTGGCTTGAATTGTCTCCAAGTGAAGTTCGCGAATCGCGAGATTGGAGCAAGCGAAGGAACCGAACCGCGCTTGGCTGTAGATGTTGGCGGGTGGATGCGAACATGCACTTTCCTGGCGCAGGTTGGCTCCTTGGGGCTGGTTGTACCGAAACATGTCTGGTCAGGTCTCAACTCAGGTTACGGGAATTCGAAGCGCAGGGAGCAGCATCATGTCTTGTTCATGAGTGAACTCCTGGGGCTGCGAAATGTTTGCTGGAGTTTCTCCTCGCCACCCTACACCGCTATATCGCAGCAGGACTCTTCCAAGGCGGAAACCTACATTCGGGGTTTGCTAGAGCTCTAAAACACATAATAGATAATAATGAATGTCTTACATTACAATACTCAAAACTCGCCCAAATTGAGGGCCAGGAACCCAGTCAGCAGTCTGCCATTGGTGGATCTCAGCTCGTTGATCAAGCGGCTCCAATTCGACCCTAACGACCCAACAAAAAGATCGCACTGAGCAGCAATCAGCAGGCTAGCAAAGCTGATGGCCACTGATTGCTCACTATCATATGCTCGCATGTCTCCCTCCACTTCTTGCCACTGCTGCTTTTGTGAAGTTGCGCTGTCCCTTTGACGGGTGTTGGTGGAGTGGAAAAGGGTCCATCGTGGCATCAATCACCATGCTAAGTACCTTAAATTTTAGAATAAAATTTGCGTCAGTGTACCATGATGTCTAAGTTGGGTACCTGTACTTCTGTGTAGAGCCACACATATTGAAGGTAACTGCTGGGTCGACTCAAAAGCCACCTTGCAACAACGGCACACGACACATGCACCTTGGTGTCTGAGTTGGGTACCTTGTCTGAGTTGGGTACCTTGTCTGAGTTGGATACCTGTGCTTCCGTGTCGAGCCACACAAATTGAAGGCCAGGCCGGGAGAGCTTGAGCCTGCGCGGGGTCACATGGATATGGTCACATGGATATGGTCACATGGATATGGTCACATGGATATGGTCACATGGATATGGTCACATGGATATGGTCACATGGATATGGTCACATGGATATGGTCACATGGATATGGTCACATGGATATGGTCACATGGATATGGTCACATGGATATGGTCACATGGATATGGTCACATGGATATGGTCACATGGATATGGTCACATGGATATGGTCACATGGATATGGTCACATGGATATGGTCACATGGATATGGTCACATGGATATGGTCACATGGATATGGTCACATGGATATGGTCACATGGATATGGTGTGAAGAAACGAGCTGCATTTACACATACGAGGGATTACGATTCGATACAGACTGTATATGATATGCATATTATTATCGGCCCCGGTTTCAACTGAGCCACAACCCACCTGAGCCAGAACACACCTACAACAGGACCCACCTGAACTCACCTGAGCCAGAACACACCTACAACAGGACCCACCTGAACTCACCTGAGCCAGAACCCAGTTGAGCGAGAGCTCAGCTGAACCAAAACCCACCTGCACCAGAACCCACCTGCACCTGAAACCAAATGCACCAGAACCCACCTGCACCAGAACGCACCTGCACCAGAAAGCACCTGCACCAGAACGCGCCTCCACCAGAACGCACCTGTACAACAGGAGCATGTGGGAGTGGAAGGAGGCGAGTGGCATCTCCCTGCCCTTGTCTGTCTGCCGCACATGCACACTCGCCATGCCCCCTGGCCTCTGCACCTCCCCCCCCACCATCCTGTATGCCTCCTCCACCCCTACCTCCCTGCCTCCCATCTCTCCGCTGATGCCGCCGCAGTTGCTGCTGCTGCTGCTGCTGCTGCTGCTGCTGCTGCTGCTGCTGCTGCTGCTGGTTTCGCCACTGCTGCTACAGCCAGGAGCAGGGGCACAGCTAGCAGCGGAGCAAGGGGGGGTGGGGAAGCCGCGTTGGGGCCACACGCAGGCGTGCAGTGGACTCGCCCTGTGTCACCTCCGCTGCTGCTGCTGCTGCTGGTACCTCCGCCGCTGCTGCTGCTGCTGCTGGTACCTCCGCTGCTGCTGCTGCTGCTACCTCCGCTGCTGCTGCTGCTGCTGCTGGTACCTCTGGTGCTGTCCCTGATGTGAGCGGCTGTTGTGCCGCTGGTGGAAAGGTAGATGGTGAGGGGGCTGAAGCAGAGGAGGAGGAGGAGGAGGAGGAGGAGGAGGAGGAGGAGGAGGAGGAGGAGGAGGAGGGGGAGGAGGAGGAGGAGGAGGAGGAGGAGGAGGAGGAGGAGGAGGAGGAGGGGGGGGGGGGAAGAAGGGGCGTCTGAGGAGGGGATTGAGAAGGTGGGGGGAGGGAGGGAGGAGGAATAATCGTCCATGCTGGAGAGCAGCAGGTATTGACTCTCTGTGATGGCGTTGCTGCCCGAGAGGGCACGCAGGAAGGTGGACTGGGTCGGGGTGAACGCTGCGAGCTGGTTGGCCGTGAGCATGCCGAATGCGGCGTGGCGCTGCTGGTTGATGACGTGGCAGAGATGGGCTGAGGGCCAGCGCAGCATGAAGCGTGTGGCCTGCGCACGCCACCAGTGGGTCTGATTGGATCGGAGGTGGGATGCGGGAAAAGCGAGGGGGGAGGAGGGGCCAAAGAGGGAAGAGCAGAGGGAGATGAGTAGACCCCCAGACAGCATGAAGCGTGTGGTCTGCACACGCCATAACATGCCACGCCATGCCATGCTATAACATGCCATGCCATGCCATGCCATGCCATGCCATCCCATGCCATGCCATGCCATGCCATGCCATGTCATGCCATGCCATGCCATGCCATGTCACGCCATGCCTCAGAGCGTGCCTAAATTCCCATCTGCACGCCAGATTAAGTGCCTCCTTGCCTCATGCCCACCACTACCATCCATCATGTTATTACCTATCACACGTTCCCCACCATGCCTCTCACCATGCTCTCACCATGCCTCTCACAATGCCTCTCACCATGCCCTCACCATGCTCTCATTGGCCGACATGCCTTGCATCTTGCCCCAGTGCTCCACCGTGGGTGGTGTGGCCAGATAAGCAGAACCCCAAAACCTGGTGGTAGGTACGGGGAAGAAATGCGGGAGAAGGAAGGAGGGGGAAGGAAGGAGGGGGAAGGAAGGAGGGGGAAGGCATACGTCTACCCACAATGCCCAGTTAGGGAGAACCCCACAGCCTGTGGGGAGATGGGGAGAAAAGTGGGGGAGGAAGGAGGGGGGAAAGATACGTCCTCACAGCGCCCAAATAGGGGAAACAGCACACCCTGGAGGCTGGCACGAAAAAACAGGTGAGGAGTCGGGGGGTGGGAAGATGGGGACGGAAGAGCAAAGCAGCACCAGAGGGGTGGGAGGACGGCGGGCGGGGCCTAGCTGAGCGAGTGCCTAGCAGGGTTTTGACACATCTCACAAATCCCCCAGCTGAGCGAGTGCCTAGCAGGGTTTTGAGACGTCTCACAAGTCCCCCAGCTGAGCGAGTGCCTAGCAGGGTTGCTGCCGTGACCATTCCGGACGCCCACCTTGCCATGCTCAACACTCCCTCATGCTCCACACTCCCTCATGCTCCACACTCTGCCATTCTCCAGCATAAACAAACTACCACTTTCGCACTCACCGACTCACCTTCTCCCTCAAATTCACTCAATCACACACTCACACCTGGCCTCACTGCTTTCCACCATGTACAGCCAGCCCCCCCAGCTGCTGCGTCCGACACTGCTGCTGCCTTGATGGGTGAATAAACTCACTCACACTCACACTCACACTCACACACTCCTGGCCGCCTCACTGCCCTCCACCATGAACAGTTCCCTCAGCTGCTGCAGCGCCACACACACCATCACACTCCCCACACACGACCACACAGGGCCAAATTGCTTGCTTGCTTGCTAGCTAGCTAACTAGCTTGCACGCCACTCACCGGCCTGCTCCTGCCACTCTCACCCACATCTATCCCGTCTAAGTCTCACCTGGCGGCCTCACTGCCCTGCTCCATGAACAGTTCTCCCAGCTGCTGCAGCTCCACACACACAATGGGCGCATCTGACGCCGCTGCTGCCTTGAAGCCGCTAGAGGCGCACGGCGGCACGGCACCCGCTGCCACGGCTTGCTGTGCCGTCTGCGTGCAATGAGAAGAGACGACTGGGAAGAAGAAACACCCCCATGACCCCCCCTGGGCTAGGCCTGGGGAGAAAGCAGGGGGGGGAGGAGAGTGGGGGGAGGGAGGGAGAGTGGGAGAGAGGGAGGGAGGGAGGAAGAGAGTGAAGGAGGGAAGGAGGGAGGGAGGGAGAGAGGGAGGGGAGGGAGGGAGGTAGGGTAGGAGGGAGGTATGGGGGAGAAGGGGAGGGGGAGGGAGAGTAGTATTGGGAGAGAAGTATCGGAAGAGTGAAAAATGGGGTAGTAGTTTGTACAGGGCGCAGATTGCAGACCAAGCCAACCTCTAGGACTTTTTGGTCTTGCCCCTCCCTGATCAAGGTTGGCAAAATAACTGGTCATGGTTGCTCCCTAAACTTTCAGAACTTTCATGGTTGAACCCTACAATGGATAGGAAACAAGTAAAATTCTGCTTGTAAAATAGGAACCGCTATAGCTCATTCACAACAAAAGAATAGGCCCATGTTCGGGCCAGTATACAATACAGAGGCACGCTCAGCGCGTACGCAAATCAGCCCACCAACAAAATTATCCCACCAATTTACCAACACATGCTCGCATCCCGCGAGCCGAGAACGCGCGGGACTAGGTTCAGTGCAGCGGCTCGCGGGGGAACTCCTCGACGGGGCTGAGCTGCTTGGCGCGGTGGTACTCGGTGTGCGCGCAGTCCACGGAGAGCACCGAGCTCGACTCGTACGACCGCGGCGTGCCGTCCAGGAACCCCACGCCCTCCTCACTATCCGACGAGATCGGACGGTGCAGATTCGCGATCAGGCGCTGGAAATCCGCAGCGCGAGCGGCGTGGTCGGGGCGGTACGTCTGGCCGAGCACGCCGTGCACGTCGTCGGTGTGCTCCAGCTCGACAATCCCCACGTTGATGTGCGCCTCCGCGTCGTTGGGGGTCTGCAGCTTCGGGTTCGCGACGCGCAGGCGCAGGTCGAGCGACACGAGCCCGTCGATCGCGAGCGTGTAGTAGTCCACGTCATACGGCCCCTCCTTCTCCAGCGCCGCGAATCGCAGCGTCAACCCGCCCTCCGTCTTCACCTCGTCGCCAACGGCCATCCTCGGGATCTCCTCGCCGTCGATCTCAATCGTCTTCATGAACCCCACGCCGCGCTCCTGCTGCTTGCCCGCGCGCGCCGCGAGGCGCAGCTTGTGGTCCGCGCCGGCCGCGAACCACACGAGCCCGAGCTCCTTGATCCACGTGTGCACGGCCTTGCCGTCCACCACGAGCGCCGCGTTGTCCGTGTCGTCCGAGTAGTACCCGCGCAGCAGCATGTTCACGTGCAGGTCGCGGTCCGTCAGCAGGCAGAACGCCTTGTCGGGCCGCCCGTTGAAGTCGAAGTGCGTCCCGAACGCGCCCACCAGATGCGGGTCGTTGACGACGTTCGCCGCGGGGTTGCACTCGCCGCCCGTGCGCACCTGCAGGTGAACGGGCTTCGAGTCCGTCGCGTACTGCGCGGTCAGCTCGCCGCAGGTGTAGTCGATATCGTCGTGCACCAGGTAGCACGCGCCGTCCGTCTTCTTGCCGTCGATGGTTATATCGGGGATGTACTGCCAGTACGTGCAGCTCTTGAACGACGCGCACGTGTTGCAGCACGTCTGCGGGGACGCCTTCTTGAGCGTCAGCGGGTTGCCCTTCACGTACACCTCCACGCCCAGCTTGTTCTTGAGCAGGTTCGACGTCTTCCACTTGGCGGCGATGCCGCCCTTGCTGCAGTTGGCGGGCGTGCACGCGCCGTCCCCGGGTTTGCCCAGGTCCTTGTGGCACTTCATTTTGTTCCATCCGGCCACTTTCACGTCCACCATCAGCATGCTGTCCGTGCTCGGGCTCACGACCGTCGTCCCCTCGAACTTGTCCAGATTGCCCACCGCCGCCGCCTGCTCGATGCCCTTGGGCACCTCCGCTGCCACTCCATTCTCGCCCTGCGCCGCAGCGAGGGACACTGCGGGGTTGTTGGGTCCAGTCACGACGCTTGGCGCCGCGGCGGCCACTGTCAGTAGGACCGCGAGCGACACTACGAGTAACAACCGCACCATGGTTCTGAAATCGAGGTCAAGGAGCTGAGGAGCTATCTTGTTTTCGAGGAATGTCAAAATCGCTTAGACAGGAAGAAAAGAACGCTAGGAGGAAACTTCGCAGGAGTGAAACCTCACCTAGAATATATCACACGAAAGATTGTTTTGTGTCTTGTCTTTCGACAGACTTGTTTCTTATATTATGCTGGTTTGTGTCTGGTTGGCTTGAATTGCCTCCAGGTTTTGCAGGGGAGTTCGCGAATCGCGAGATTGGAGTAAGTGAAGGAACCGAACCGCGCTGAATCGAACGACTGTAGATGTTGGCGGGTGTATGAGCATCTGCACTTTTCTGGCGCAGGTTGGCTCCTCGCGGCTGGTTGTAACCAAAACAGATCCTGTCAGGGCTCAACTCAGGTGGTGGAAATTCGGAGCGCAGGGAGCAGGCTCGTGTGATGAGTGGACCCCTGGGTGGACCCCTGGGTGGTTTCTCCTCACCACCCTATACTGCTATATCGCAGCAGGACTCTTCCAAGGTGAAAAGCTACATTCGGGGTTTGCAAGGTCTCTAGAACACATAATTGATAATCATGAAATTTCTTGATTCTCAAAACTCGCCCAAATTGAGGGCCAGAAACCCAGCCAGCAACCTGCCATTGGTGGATCTGAGCTCCAATTCGATCCTAGCGACCCAATAAAGTGATCGCACTGGGCAGCAATCAGCAAGCTTGCAAAGCTGTCAACCACTGATTGCTCACTACGATATCCATGTCTCCCTCCCCTTGTTGCATCTGGTGCTGCTGCGCTGCCAAATTGTTTCTTTGACGGGTATTGGCGGAGTGGAAGAAGGCCCAATCAGGGTAGAGAGACGTGGCATCAACCACCGACTGCACAACAAGGGACGGGTGTGTCAAAACATATTTCTTTGTTTGTCTAGGATGTAATGGGGTAGCCCTTAGAGGGTACAAATCAATAGGGTTGTACTTACACTCCACATTCCTCTTAATTCACCATTCTGCTGTACCCTCGATTCTGACATGGTATCAGAGCCAGGTTAGGTCTGACTGCTGAACCTACTATCGAACCTACGCCTACGTTAGACTTGCCCAGCTGCCCTGCCTGTGTGAACGCGCTGCCCTGCACCGCGCTTCGCGCCCTGCCCTGCCTGCCTGCGTGCGCTGCCTGCCCGCGCCCCGCATTGCCCTGCCAGCCCGCACACCACGCTGCCCAGCCAGCCCGCGCGCCCCGCTGCCCTGCCTGCCCCGCACGCGCGCTGCCCTGCCTGCCCACGCGCCGCACTACCCTGCTTGCGGGACACCTGGCCATTCATAGGCCCGCTGCTTCGCCTATTTGAGTGACGCCTGGAGAGAGGTGTTTGGCGACGAGGCTGAGCCCCCCAGCTGGCGAGAGCTGCTTCGTCACAGGGTGGACGTCTTTGCTCTCGACTTGGACGCTATACTTACTGCCATGTATACTCTGACTGTGGGTACTGAGGGTGACTGTTACCTCTGTGTGCGGCCCGACCCTGGCATAGATGCTGCTACTCTCGATACTAGTGCATCTGCTCTCGAAGCTAGTGAGTCTGCTCTCTCTGGTACTGCGTCTGCTGAGCCCTTGCACACCTTCACGCTTGACTCAGGTGCTTCACGCTGTTTCTTTCGCGACAGTACCGCACTCACACCGCTCCCTAGACCGGTTGCGGTCTCCCTGGCTGACCCCTCTGGGGGTCCGGTTCTTGCACGTTCCTCCACCGTGCTCCCGTGTCCGGCGGTTCCGTCCGGCTCGCTGTTAGGTCCTCACCTCCCCTCGTTCTCGACGAACTTGGTGAGTAACGCAGCTCTTCAGGATGAGTGGGTTAATACCTTTATCCCTGGAGGCCAGCGTGTGGCAATCTGCACGTGTGCACGGACGGGCCGTCACCTGGCCACGTTCACCCGTCGGCCTGGGTCGAGTCTGTACACACTGACTACTGAGCCTCCCCAGGTTGCTGCGTCTGGTCAGGTGGCTGCGTCAGGTCTGGTAGCCCCCCCCTGCGAGTGTCGTCACCTGTCGCACCAGACTCTCCTTTGGCACCACCGCCTTGGTCACCCCTCCTTGCCACGCCTGCGTGGCATGCACTCTCGCTACCTGGTCTCTGGTCTTCCCAGGTCTCTGCCTTCCCTCCCGCCCTCGCCTGCCCCGCCCTGCATTCCTTGCGTCGAGGGGCGGCAGCGCGCCGCTCCTCACTCCTCCTCGTTTCCCCCGACGACTGCTCCCCTATAGACTCTCCACCTGGACGTGTGGGGCCCAGCCCGCGACAGGGGACAGGACCGCGAGCGGTACTTTTTGCTGGTTGTCGACGACTACTCGCGTTACACCACGGTCTTCGCCTTGCGCAGAAAGGGTGAAGTCCCTACTGTTTTGATCCCTTGGATCCGCGCTGTGCGTCTCCAGCTCCGCGAGCGGTTCGACACGGACCTTCCCGTCCTGCGTCTGCACTCTGACAGAGGTGGTGAGTTCTCCTCTGACCTCTTGCGGGACTTTTGTCAGGGGGAGGGCATCCTCCAGTCGTTCACGCTTCCAGCCTCTCCGCAGCAGAATGGGGTTGCTGAGCGCTGCATTGGCTTAGTCATGGAGGTCGCTCATACCTCCATGATCCATGCGGCTGCCCCCCATTTTCTGTGGCCGTTTGCGGTCCGGTACGCTGCGCATCAGCTCAACCTCTGGCCCCGTGTCTCCTTGCCGAAGACCTCGCCCACACTGCGTTGGACGGGGGAGGTTGGTGATGCGTCGCGCTTCCGGGTCTGGGGTTCTCGTGCCTTTGTCCGCGATACCACCGCGGACAAGCTCTCCGCTCGCGCCATTCCCTGCGTCTTCCTTGGTTTTCCCCCTGACGCGCCTGGCTGGCAGTTTTACCACCCCACATCGCGTCGGATGTTTGCCTCTCAGGACGTCACATTTGACGAGTCGGTTCCCTTCTACCGCCTCTTTCCCTACCGCACTGCCCCTCTCCCCCCCCCGCCGCTCTTCCTCGCTCCAGGTTCCCCTCCGGTTGACTCCCCCCCCCCCTCAGGGTCCTTCTCCTTGCCTGAGCCTGTCGAGGTAGACCCGCCTCCCTTGCCTGAGCCTGTCGAGGTCACTGGTGACTCAGGTGCCGCTGAGGGTGGTGCTGCTCGGGGTGCTGCGTCTGGGGGTGTTGTGCCTGGGGGTGTTGAGCCTGCGAGTGAGGAGCCTGAGCGTCTGGGGCCTGGGGGTGTTGTGCCTGGGGGTGCTGAGCCTGGGGGTGCTACGCCAGAGCGGGAGGAGCTTACGGGTGCTGAGCCTAGGGGTGCTGAGCCTGGGGGTGCTGCTTCTGGGGGTGCTGAGCCTGGTGGTGCTACATCTACTGGTCCTGGCGGTTCTCCCGGGGCCTCGCCGCAGTAGTCTAGCCGGCGGGAGCCTCTCTCACCACAGCAGCTGCGTGGAGCTGCTGGAGCTGGACGCCCTGGAGCTACTGGTACCGGAGGAGCTGGCACTGCTGGTCCCGGAGGTGCTCGTCCTGGAGGTACTGGAGCTGCTGGAGCTGGTGGTGCTGCTGGTGCTGGAGGTGCTGGTGGTGTTGGCACTGCTCGTCCCGGAGGTGCTCCACCTGGAGGTACTGGAGCTGCCGGAGCTGGTGGTGCTGCTGGTGCTGGAGGTGCTGGTGGTGCTGGTGGTGCTGGCACTGCTAGTCCCGGAGGTGCTCGTCCTGGAGGTACTGGAGCTGCCGGAGCTGGTGGTGCTGCTGGTGCTGGAGGTGCTGGTGGTGCTGGCACTGCTCGTCCAAGTTGGAGGTGCTCGTCCTGGAGGTACTGGAGCTGCCGGAGCTGGTGGTGCTGCTGGTGCTGGAGGTGCTGGTGGTGCTGGCACTGCTAGTCTCGAAGGTGCTCGTCCTGGAGGTACTGGAGCTGCCGGAGCTGGTGGTGCTACTGCTGTTGGAGGTACTGGAGCTGGAGGCCCTGGAGCTGGTGCTGTCGACCCTGGAGTTGGAGACCCTGGGGCTGGAGGTGCCGGTCCCGGGTGTTCTACTGCTGGAGGCACTGGAGCTGGAGACTCTGGAGCTGGTGATGTCGGCTCAAGAGTTGGAGACCCCGGAGCTGGAGGTGCCGGTTCTGGGGGTGCTGCTACTGGAGGCAGTGGAGTTGGAGGCCCAGGCGCTGGTGCTGTGGACCCTGGGGCTGGAGGTGTCGGTTCTGGGGGTGCTGCTGCTGGTGACGCTGGAGCTGGAGGTGCTGACGTTGGAGGCGCTGGGGCTGGAGGTTCTAGAGCTGCAGGAGACGCTGGAGCTGCTGCTGGTACTGGTGCTGGTGGTACTGCACCACTGCGACTGTTCTTCGCTCCACCGTCGCCGTCGTCTCTGCCACCACCTGCCTCCGTACTTCGCCAGGTTCTTAGCCTCCCGTCTTCTACTGGCCTCCCGTTACAACCCGGCTCACCACTGCCTGCTCCTTCTCCTTACACTGAGCACACTGACTCGCTTACAGAGCGTCGTGAGCCTGCGTCTCGTCCTGCCTCCCCTGTTCGCACTGTTCGCCGTGCTCGTCGAGTCCCGCGTCCGCGTCCTCCTCCTGTGCCAGGTACTCACACTATGGCACTTCGTCCTTCCTCTGCTCCACAGCGCGTCCCTCTGCCGTCTCCTCCTGCGTCCTCTCTTCTTACTATGCCGGACCTTGAGTCTGACCTAGTTCTTGCTGCTCACCCTACTGTCACACGTCTGTTAGCCACTGTTGTCACTGACCCTTCGTTTGAGTCCGCTGCTGCGTCTGCTTTGGTCGCTGAGCTTGTTGACTTTGCTGCTGCTTGTCGTCTCGACTACGCTGCTAGTCTTGTTGCTGAGTCTGAGTCTGTCTGTCCTCCGTCCGTCGGGGGTGAGTGTGCTCTTCGCACGGACGTCCTTGAGGACAGACAGGAGGACTTTGAGTGTCTTGCAGCCACTGCACCTCATCTCGTGGCCATGCTATTTGCTGGACATCCCGACCCCGCGCTCTTACGCAGAGGCGATTTTGGGTCAGTAATCCTCTCAGTGG